ATAAAGTCAATTGACCTTATTTCCATTGACCTTATTACCTGTCACCCAATTCGCACAGAGTTTGCGGGAACTTCCCCGTATACGCGATGGCAACGTCATCCGCATAAGCAACGACCTTGGCGGCTCCCCATTTCGTCTCTCGCAAAAAAGAGTTCACGGTTAAGTTCGATAGGATTGGTGAGAGCACTCCACCCTGTAAGATATGCACGATAAAGTGCAGTGGCGGATTTGAATATTTGTCACCGAGTTTTGGAACGATTAGCAGTAAATAGTAATATTCAAATTTATGTTATTTACTATACTTTCATTCCAATTTAAGATGAAAAAGTGGTATTTGCCTTTGAGTAAAGGCTTTCAGCTTTTAAAGAAAGCCATCATCAACAAATTTTTTTCACTTTATGTTTTAAAATGTACAAACACAAATCCTACTTTCAGTGCAGCTAACTTGAAAAAAATAAAAAATTAAAATTTTTTCAACTCAAATTTTACCGCCCCTAAATTTTTGCCGCCCTAGGCACCTGCCTATGTTGCCTGTACGGTAAATCCGCCACTGATTAAGTGTAACTACTTTTTTTAAAGCTGAATACTTGATTTTCGTTATCACCGAGCAATTCTACACAGGGATTGAATAGTGGCATCCGGTGAACAAAAACACAAATATTTGTGATCCAGTGTAATTATTGCAACAGCATTAAGTTATTATATATTCAAAAATTGCCTAGGAGTAAGCAATTAACCAGTGTGCCAAATGCAATTACCGCGTTAGAAGGCAATTAGGAAGCAAAACTAGTATTTAAAAAATTGGCAAAATTCCAGGTATTTAAGGTAGGCGCAATACTTTTACCACCACAGTAAGTAAAAGTTTCCCGAATGGCCTTACAAGGAAAGCCAAAAACTGTGGCGGAGCTCTTTCGCCCGCACTGGAGTGTTTGGAAGTGCCTGGGTCAAGTGCCACACCACAAGTACCCGAAGCTCTACAAACTCTATGCGATACTCTTGAATATTTGCTTTAGCATCGGTTATCCACTACATTTGCTGCTTGGCCTACTAAATTCGTTAACATTGGAGGAGATGTTCCTAAATCTCACCATAAGCGTGCCAGTTGCCGTTTGCTCGCTGAAGTTTTTCAATATTTGGCGTAACTTGTATAAAGTTCGTCAGTTGGAGAAAATGTTCAATACACTTTATGCGCGCATTAATCAACGCGACGAATGGACATATTATCGAGAAGTCACCATACCGAACGCATTAAAAGTTTTGTACTTATTCTATTTCATTTGCCTGGGCACAGCTGTAACCTCGGAATTGACGCTTTTGTTAATGGGCTTCGCTCACGAATGGCGACTAATGTATCCAGCCTATTTCCCCTTCGATCCCTATGCAACGACTGGCAATTATGTGTTGGCGCATTTGTATCAAATAATCGGCTTGTTGGTGCAATTGGCTGAGAATTTGGTCAGCGACACTTACGGTGGCATGTGTCTGGCGCTGCTGGCCGGACATGCACATCTGTTGGGTAAGCGTGTGGCACGCATTGGCTATGATGCGAGCAAGACGTGTGAGGAGAATAATCGCGCGCTGGTCGATTGCATTGCGGATCATAATATGTTATTTGAGTAAATTTTTTTTGTGAGAATGTGACAGTCAGTGGTGGAAAACGGCTAATCTAAAACTTTTACTTGCTTACAGCTGTCATCGCGCTATTGGCGAAATAATTGGCGTAGGCATGTTTGTGCAAATCATTTCGGCGAGTCTCATTATGGGCATAGTCATCATCTATATGGTTTTTTATGTGAACAACGCCTTTGAGTTCGTCTACTATGGCATCTACTTGTTCGGCTGCACGATGGAGGTATTTCCCACCTGCTACTTTGGCACTTATTTCGAAATCGAATTCGACCAACTGACCCATATGCTGTTCTCGTGCAATTGGATGGATCAGGGGCGTGAATTTAATAAAAATTTGCGCATTTGTGTAGAGCAGTCGTTGCGGAAGCGTAGTTTCCGTGTCGGTGGCATGTTTCATATAAACTTGAATACCTTCTTTGCAACTTGTAAGGGTGCCTACTCACTATTGGCGCTCGCCCTGAGCATGAAATAACTCGGATGAATGCAGGGGAATTTGTTGAAGATATCTAACAAAAAAAACTTAAAAAAAAATACACAAATATCTGCTTAAATATTTTCACCGTGCACCTCTAATGTAGCTTTTAGATTGCAATAAATTTATCAACTACACAGAATTTAAATACTGGAAAGTTTAAATTTGCATATACACTAGGAATTTCATTCTTTTATTTTGAAAAACAAATCAAAAGGTTTTGTTTAATCAGACGAGTACACAGTAACGCTCTCATAACCCGGCTAAGGCGAACCCGGCAGGCAAATTAACTAAATAAATTTTTGCCTAACTCTAACCACTCTTAGGAGGTCCTGGCTAAGCCACCTCTAAAGCCAAGTCGCCTTCGCTCAGGCAAACCACTGGGTCAAGAATATGTCTACTAGTCACGTACTAATAGAAAAATCGTCTTGAAGTGTGATAAGAGTAAGGAGGGTGAACTCGACCTCTCGATCAAGAGAGAAAATCAGACCACTTTGCCCGAAAGTCACTTAAATCCATCTACATCACGCCAAAGTATTCTCGCCTGCTATAAAGCGTCGATTAATCTGAGTTAAGACTTGCTTAAAGCCTATTCACTAAGCGCCATGTTAAATGGAAAGTAAATTTAAACCGCCAAGAAAGTAGTGATGGAGCGTGATGGATGGATTTCGGCTCTCGCCATTTCTTGGTAGTGGCATAGGTAATATTCTGTACTCTTGCAGGAGTTATGTATGTGCAACCCTGTAGACCAAAAGTTTGACGACAAGGCTCATAAAGATACTAACAATGTCTGGTATGAATCTGGGTAGTGGTTTGTTGGCAGACGACTCTTGGATGCTCTCTCGCCAGACGTCTCTTGAGACCAACGAGATTGCAAGTATTCGGGTAGCAAATCAGTGTCGTGTTCGGAAGGAAGCTTTCTCAAATATTTTTAGATCGACGACTGAGCTGAAGATCGACCTATATCGGCAGCCGGATTGAAAACGCCCTATCTCAGCAAATTTTTGAAGAACACCCACTCCGGAATTTGGTTTAAGGCCACCATATCTCATAATTTGTTTGAAGAACGCCCTAAATCAGCAAATGATTCAAGAATTTCATACCTCAATGTAAGTTCAATATACCGGCAGCTGAGATAGGGCGTTTCTGAACCATTTGCTGAGATGGGGCATTCTTCAACCAAATTCTGAGATGTATACCTATGGCTTTTCAATAAAATTTTGATATAGGACGTTCTTGTGCCATTATCTGTGATAGGGCATTTTCGAATCAGGTGCCGGGATCGGTATGTCCTACACTTTGCCGTCGAGATAGAGTGGAGTTAGCTTGGGCTATCAAGTCTTTCGATACGTTCTAATCAGCGGGGTTGGGTGGCATGGTACCTGTGATCTCGCAACACTTATGTGACAGCTTGGTATTTATCTCATTTAACAAGTATTTTCTTAAGATTATACAAAACACTAATCTCATCCTTAAACCGTTCTTAAAAGCCAAATTTACCAACACAATAAAGGAAAGTACAAGCATCCAGACCGAAACATGCATAAAGTAAGGGTAGATCTGCAGAAAACGCCGTCCCCGAAGTAGTAAGTACTAAAGAGAAATATTTGGATTATAACGATAATCACCTAGTAACTTTGTGGATATTAAGGGGTTATCAGTAATGCAGTTTAGTTCTATATTAGCATGAATCGATGACAAGCTTGAAAGCTGCCTATTCTCTTAGGTGCATTTTCCGCTTACGTGCACAATTTCGCCAAAATACTGCTTCATTAAATGGATTTTGTACGAAATTTTCTCTTTTAGCTGCATTTCACCTTAGCTAACCTTTTCCGTTTAACAGCCCTGTTTTTGAGTAAGTTTTCTTCGATTTGTACTTCGCTTACCAGTACCAAAATCTCACATATTAATTACATAAATAATTTTCGTAGTTCACAAGGTGCTGAAGATGGTATCCTTTCAACTTCAAAAGGAATCTTTCACTCTACTGGTTATGAGATTTTTTCGGATACTTATAGCGGGGGTGATTATGACTTAATTCAGGTTTAATCTCATTTGTAATATGGTGAAATTGGTGGTGGTGGAATTGGGTGTGGGAGTTACGGTGTGATGAATTCTGGTGTGGTGAGTTAAGGTGTAGTGAACTTAGTTGTCGTGAGTTGAGGTGTGGTGAATTCACCTAAACTCACCACATGGGTACGATTAGTGATGGGACAGGGTAAATACCTAATTGGTAAATTGAGCATTTACCGGTAAATACCTAGATATTTACCCAAGTACTTGGGTACTTACCCAAATTATGGGTATAAATAATAAGTACTAGTGTTCGCCCAGCGGTTGAAATTCAACCGCTAAAATTAAGGATAGTTTATGAGAGTTGAGTTGAGCTGAAATAAAATTAGTTGGAATGGGTTACGGTGTGATGCCCATTGATAAACATGCAGCTAAAATGGGTCTTCCATTTAACCCTCGATGCAGTAGCTGTAATCTTGAGAGAAGTAAAGAAACGATCCTACACTATCTTTGCGAGTGCCCAGCATTGACACGATTAAGGCAGGACACACTCGGGAGTTTTTCCATCCAAAATCTTGGTGAGATCTCCAAATTCACCATAACTAACCTAAATAGATTCATCGGAAAATCCAAACGCTTTAACGAAGCCAACGAATCATGAAAGCAGATAAAATCAAGGGTCCCAGAGAAAGCGTATCAATCACTACCTGATAGGTAGTGGTAACTGGATCCCGGGAATGTACTCAGCCGACGCTGCTACCTACCAACCAAGAGTTCAACAGTTTCTTCCATAAGAACTTAAAAAAATTGTTTGAAGTAAAGTTTTACAAATCGTTTCTGCTAAGGCCTAGATAGAGCTATATTCAAAGATATATCTTTTTTGTGTATGTATATATCTGGAAGCTTTTTTAGTATATAAAAATGCGGGAAATCATTTGGCTCCAAATGGGTAGCCTATTTTTTATATTTTTGCAATCGTCTCTCTTAACGAAATGTCCAGCAATCGCCGAAATATCACTACTTCTAAACCCAAACAAACTCCTTCAGGTCAGCTTCAAATTTCATCTGTATATTAGCAAAAGCTAACTCCCAGCCATAGACAATGCCTTTTCGCTGTTGATGCATTCCATCTTGTCATTATTGGCTGTCACAACGTTGGTGTCGAAAGTTTTGAACTTTGCTACTATCAGCCAGAGCAACCGTAAAACTGCGCATTCCTGCTGATGCTACTCAGTTTAACTTTGTTGTTCGTATTTTTTATTATTTTTGTTTTTTAATAATTTTGTCTATTCTTGGCGTGTTGCAAAAGCATCAGCTTAATATATTCCACACACGCTCGTATAGCAAATGCGACAACATCAGCCGTCTGTCGGCCTGCTAAGCTGCCTGCCTGCCCGCCTGCCCGCACGCCCGCCTATTTGTAATCAGCAGCCGCAGCACCCTTCCTACACCACTTCACCGACCAGCTACTTATGCACTTCGCCTCGAGCAGCTAATGGCAGCTGCTCATAACTTCCAAAGTTTTCTTTCGACGGCCTGCCTGCCTGCCTTGCAATTGCGCTTTCACAAATATTGCCATTTTTTATTCGAGAGCTTTTCTTGCTACGTACGCTTACAGTTACTTTGATTCGCTGTCGCCTTAAATGGTATTTTCCTACATTTGATTTTATTTTGCCCAACAATTTTGCCAGCGCATGCACATATTGGCTTTTGATATGTTTTTCATGTATGTATGTATTTTTTTTTATTTTTTTCCCCCATTTCAAATATGCGTGTTTTCTCTATTTTTTTCAATGTTTGCCCATCAGTTTGCTGACAATGTTGCTTTGCCATTTTCCTTTGGTTGCTTGTGATGCATGTCGCTGCGTACGTGATAGTATGCGTGCATATATGTGTGTGTGTGTGTGTGTGTGTGTGCGCATTTGTGAATTTTTCATATCCTGCCTATAACAGGAAGTCACAACGAATAAAATTGATATTAAGTTATGGCAGAAACTTTTATTATTATGCATCTATCATCGTTGCTAAGTTCAATATGACTTGATACAGGCACACATACGCACACACATATGCACATTCAAGCAAACACAAATGCTGGCATACATACATATGTGACCCTGTATGTTATATGTATGTCTGTATACAACTCATCAGCATTCCAAAAATAAAATGTCACACTAACTGACAAACTGCACACGCCCATTCTCTCCAAAGCACTGAGTCATGTGAGGATAAGAACTTGAAAAGTATTTAGTAAGCAGCAAGTTTCAAGTGCTGCGCTTGTTGTTGGTGGCTCATTTTTAGTTAAACCATAAACTAAATTGCACAGAGAATCGTTTTATAAAGTTGTAGCTTTTTAAACTTCGCTAAGTTCTTGGTTTTTACTTTCCTCAGGTGTTTTATTTTTTTCCTTTTGATATGGAAATGATACTCAGAGAGATCAAACAGTTCGTGAAATTAGTAGGAAGGTGTGTGAACACAAAAAAACATAAAAAACTATTTCCTTCCTAGTTAGAATACTTTTCCTTCGACCTTTCACAAATTTAATTTATGTGTGTATAATTACCAACAATCCAATGTTCCAGTTTTTGCACTATTCCACAAGACTGGCCGCCATTCCAGCAGGTGGCGGCAACAGAGAGTTGTATGGAAAGTACGCTGAGGCAATAATAATGGGTTTCCAACCGTTTTTGCCTTTGAAGCTCAACCGCGCTGCCATGAAGTCCTGGCAGCAGAACTGTGCAAGCTTGGTTACAGTGAAGTGAGAAGCACTATAAGTAGGGCTGCCAGATATCTCTGATGCCAAACCGGGACACTTAAGGAGGGGAGAGGCCGCTCGCTCCTTTGCATTTCGTTTCGACAAAAATTACGTACGAAAAGATGTAGTAAAATTTTATTTTGACAAAAAAAAAACAAGAGATCATGAGATCATTACAACGTACACCAGCAAAACAAAACAATTTATCACAACTAAAGTACAGAGGATT